TCCCCAGAAGGGGACATGAAGGAGACAGCCAATCAATGATTCTCTCTCATCATTGATGTTTCCATCTCTTTCTCCCTCTCCCTTTTTCTCTGAAATCAATAAAAAAAAAATTGGGGGGGGGGGGATTTCTGCTTAGGGACACACTTAAAAGCAGCAGCATTAGAAAGATCAGATGCTTTTTAAACTATTTGAAAGTCACCATTCTAGAAATTTCTGTAACGCAGAGTTTCATTCCTTGATGATACCAAGAGATTGCTATATAACCTTCACACACACAGTTCCCGTAATAGGCATGCCAGCAGCTTTGCACAGAGCAGAGAAGTGCTTGTGGTGGCCACCAGCCTGCTCCCAACTGACCCACTTAACCATTGACCACCCCTGCTCTGCAGGAGCAGCTGTGCATGAAGAGGGTGGCAGCCGGGCCGGGCCTGTGGGACAGAGCAGGAGGCGGCACAGGGTCCTGCCTGCACATCTTTACCAGGTGACCCGCCTGGACACTCAGCTTGTGCCAAGGAAGAGGATCCTGAGTGAGTCAGTAGCGAGCTCTCAGAAGGGAGCGGTAGGAAGAGGCTGAGAGGGACTAGCTCAGAGCAGGGAGAAGGAGAAGCACAGGAGCAAGGTGAATGGAGGAAGCAGCTGCTGGGCTGTTGTGTCTGGACCACAGAGGAGACGTACACTCAGGACAGCTTGTTGTTCTGACAAGGAGCATCCCATAGTTGCCCTATCCAGCCGACGGGGCGGGCAAACAAGGAGAACAGCAGAGGCCTCGCAGCTGGAGCTTTCCTTGGCCCCTCTCCTGCTCTGAACTGTGCCTGGGGCCCCCACGGGGATGAGAGGGTCCCCACTTAGCAGCCTGGCCAAAGTCCAGCAGTCACATAACGTCATCGAACCAGAGACTGTGCCAAGGCCTGTGCCCTGCTGTCCATAGCAGCAGGGAAGGCACCGGCAGGAGACCCCTGTCTGAGTACAGGGAGCTCCTCTGATGCGGGGAAAGCGCCCGCTTCCTGCAGCGTCAGGAGAAGTGTGTTTCTAGTTCGCAATTCATTCACTCGTTTTCCTGTAGCTTGTCTCTTCCTACAAACAGAATTGCTTGGAAATGGCTTTTACCAATAAAGCATGATCGTTGAAACGCAAAACAACGTTACCCACTATTTCCTGGATATGGGTACATTTTACAAAAAACGTGGGCCCAGCCCTAACCGATTTGGCTCAGTGAATAGAGCGTTGGCCTGCGGACTCAAGGATCTGGGGTTCGATTCTGGTCAACGGCATGTACCTTGGTTGTGGGCACATCCCCAGTGGTGGGGGTGCAGGAAGCAGCTGATTGATGTTTCTCTCTCATTGATGTTTCTAACTCTCCCTCTTCCTTCCTCTCTGTAAAAAAATCAGTAAAATATATATTGGGGGAGGGGGGAAGAAAAGAAAACGTGGGCCCAGAGTAATGCCTTTTTCTCAACTGACTCTGCTCCCTTTTGTTGGAAAGGGCAGCGTCTCGACCTGAACCCCAGTTTCGTCAGGAGATCTTTCCTGCTGGCCACCCCCAGCTTTTCTCAGAAGGTTGCCTGGTGTTACTTTGAGGTTGCAAGTCTGACTCCTGCTCACTGTTAAGTGCTGCTGAGCTCCTACACCAAGGGCATGTCTGTGTGCTGAGGAGAAGACCTGCCCACTCTTACAGAGTGAACCGTGGGTGACATGTTTCTGGAAAATCAGTGGAGCTGGGACACACACCCTAGGAGTGCCCAGATGCGGGCGTTCTTGGGTGCTGGAGGAACTCGGGGAAAACTCATGGCATGACTTGAGTCTTGAAAGATAGGTAGAGAGACTCGGGCTGGGAGGCTCAGTGCTGGGAAACATGGGGGAGAGAGACTCAGTTGTTTGCCAAGTCACAAATTTGGCATGATGAGGAGGGACCTGGGAGAACTAAGGGACTTAGGAAGGGGGTGGGGGGTAAGAAAAGCTGTGTGTGACCAGCTGGGCCTCCACTTACAGGTCCCAGTGGCCTCCTGTTGCTGATGGCATTGGAAGCCCTGCCCAGCCATTGGCAGGCAGGCATTGACCTCCTTTCCAGCCACCATCCAACAGCCCCCTCCCTCCCACTCACCCTGCACCTCCATCCCACCTCCTGCATCTTGCAAGCCCTATTGCATGCAACCCCCTCCTCTTTCTCTCTGCTCCGCACCCTCCTCATCCCCCAGCTGACAGTCCTGCACCTTCAGCAGAGCTCAACTAGAAGCATCTCACGCCAGGTGGCATTCTTTCCTCCCTGCGCTCCCAAAGCAGCTGTGTGTCCCCAGTCACTGGCCTTTCTGGCTCCCACCAGCACCACCACCACCACCACTGGACAGAGGCCCTCCAGGCTACATGTGGGGACCTTTTAGCTGGGTGAGTGTGGTGTCCACCTGCTTGGCTTATTCCAAGTGTAACTGGGAGGTATTTTTAAGTGTTTCCAGTTTCACATTGTATTTACCAGTAGAAGGTAAAGGCAATTTAGCGATCTGTTTAGGTGGTTTGCCCTTGAGCGAACAGGAATTAGGATTCTGATCTTCCAGCTCTTTCCCTCTGGGTCCTTTAGCCAATCCCAGCATCCGCTCCATTCAAAAAGCAATGACTCAAGACTCTAATCTGAGGAAAACTGTAAACCAAAGAATGTGTACGGTAGTCACTTCCTGCTGATAGAGAGATCCTGGCAGGCTTGCTATTGTGGGAGAGTGTGTGGGAGAGGGGTGAGGTATGTGTCATGAGCTAAACAGTATGGAGTCCTGGGGGGCAGGGAGAACACTGGAAGCAGTTGCAAGCAGTCTTATATACCTTCAGGGAAACGATTGCACCAAACATAGAAACCCTTTTGCTTCCTGTGTCAAATGCTCTCTCTGTTTCCTTAGTAGCCCTGGAGAAGTAAGTGATGCTGCTCTGGCTGGTTTGGCTCAGTGGATAAAGCATCGGCCTGTGGACTGAAAGGTCCAGGGTTCGATTCCAGTCAAGGGCACATGCTTGCGTTGTGGGCTCAATCCTCAGTGGGGGGCGTGCAGGAGGCAGCCTGCCAATGATTCTCTCTCATCATTGATGTTTCCATCTCTCTTTTCCTCTCCCTTCTTCCTGAAATCAATATATTAAAAAAAAAAAGAAAAAAAAAAAGAGGTAAGTGATGCTGTGTGTGGCATAATCATCTCTCTGTTGATGTTGTTTAGCAAACACATTGGAATTAGGCATCCTTGTTCTCATAATCATTTTAGAAACATTCCTGTTTGTATTTTCTCTGGAGCCATGATTCAGCCTGTTGCATGAGGGGTCAGAGGGTGCAGGCTGTAGGCGCTTGCTGATGCTGGGTGCCTGGCCTCTCCAGTCTCCTTTGTTCAGCTGCAGTCAGCAGAGGAGGTGTGCTAGCTGAGAGGCATTACCAAGGCACCTCTCCGCCTGCTGCATTTGAATGTTGCTATGGCAACTCATAAGCCCTAGAAGCAGCCCAACTATTGTTTCTTTCTTCATGGGGAAGAAACATCCCCGATTGCCACCTCAGTGATATGTGTACCCAGACAAGGCAAGGATTTGGAGCCCAGAGGGTAGAATATTTGGTGCACAGTTGGTGCGTGTAGTTCTCGAGTGGACAGGGCTATGCGTGTGGCCATTTGAGGTGGTGGCTGATTGCAGGAGTGAACTGACCTGAGCTGGGCAGGAGCATTGGGCACTGAAGCAAAGCAGGAGCCCTGCGTGAGTGATAAGTGACCTCGTCTTTGCTGATGGGTGGGGTGAGTGTTTGCATGCCCTTGGGGGCCTGGCCAGCCCACTCCCTTGCCCTTGCTGCCAGCTTCCATCATGGTCCTCAAAGTAAGGCTCTCTGCTGGTGAGACAGGTGACAGCCAAATGACCTTGGGCAATGAGTCTGCTGCTAGACACCCTACAAAGTGAAAAAGTCATCAAATTCGAGAAAGGTTTACGGGAGATGGCAGCACAAGAGAGTGTGAGAAAGAGCACTGGCCTTGGATGAACAGACCGACCTAGGTGCCCCTGCTCTGCTCCCGACCCTGAGTCCTCAGAACCTTACATAGCTCACCTGTCTTTAGTGTCCTCATTCAAAAAGGAAAGTAAGTCCAACTTTGTAGGGTTATAGTGAGAATTATAAATAATGTACTGTCTGCTCTTCGTCTCCATGGGTTTTGTGTCTGCGGATTCAACCAACCACCGATCGAAAACAGTATATGTATTTTTATTTCACGGTTGGGAGTCTGCAGATGCAGAGGGCCAACCATATGCATTGTCCTATGACTTTATATAAGAGACTTGTGCATCCTCAGATTTTGGTATCTGTGGGGGTCCCAGAACCAGTCCCTTGCGTATACTAGGGGTTGAATGTTTAGAAAGCACATCTGCTATAACTAGCCAGTACATAGTAGGAGCTCGTTAATGTTAAATACTGGTCAGAGTAACAGCTGAAAGACAGAACGCAGACCTGGACTTATTCCATGTTTCCTGGCATCAGGGCCAACTGGAAGTTTTTAGAAATACCTATGTCAGGCTTTCTGGGTCAGTATTTGCAAAGATGGGACCAAGGAATCTATCTATATATTTAAATAAATAAATAAATAAATAAAAAACATTCCAGGGTTGTTTCGATGGAGCCAGCCTGTGACTCCAGGTAGGAAATTCACTCACTTGTTTGAGGGTAGAGTGTAGCACCTCTGGATTTCTCCTACTTCTGCCAACCATGTCACACTGATTTTATTCTCCTTCTAAACTCCAACGGCTTCTGCTAAAGTCACTTGTGGTTTGGGAGCATGGATGTTTGGTGAAGTGGCTGGAGGGAATTGAATAAGGAAGTCAAAGGAAAACTAAAGTGAAACGAGTTGAAAAGCATCTCCAGGAAAGCTGTGTGCAGCCCCTAGCTGCCCATTTTGGCTCCCTATTGGTTATAAATGTGACATTTAAGGTGATTTGTCCAGATGCCGGAGTCTCCAATAGGAGTTTAGCATGCCTAGAGCTGAAGTTGTTTTCTGCACCCACAGGAACGTGGCTGAAGAGTGGCCTCGGCCTCGTGCACCAGGAGGGCAGCCAGCTGACGTGGACGTACATTGCCCCTCAGCTGGGGTACTGGGTGGCAGCCATGTCTCCCCCCAACCCAGGTAACATGAAAGCAGCGCCTGCAGGCATGGGGAATGATGTCCTGAGGGGTCAGGTTGAGTACACTTTCGAAAATAACTCCAACGGGGACATCACATCTTAAAAATGGTTGAGAGTCTGAAAAATCAAATGAGGAAACGAAGGTACTTCATGGGATGGGGAGTTCTAGTTGGAACTCTCCCATCTAGGATAAGAATAATGCATGGAAAATCATCTCTTCTCCTGTCTCTGTTTCTTGTAGACAGCTGCCATAGGAAATGCTTAATCTAAAGCCCTCAGTGGCAGCTCAGACCTCCTCCCTAATTCCTGAAACAGCTGTGGCCGAAGTGAGAGAACGTGTAGGGAAAGGCATTCAACGGAGGGACTCCCAGAAAGTCATCACGGGTGACTTCTTGGGGCAGAAAGCTCAATACAGCATCTCCTAAAGGTTTTCAAAGCCAACCAGTGGCTTTGTAGTCAGAAGAATATTCATTTCCATTTAGGAAATGTGAATGAACTGGTATTTTTTTAAAGTGTAACTAAAAGTGTTGTTGTTTTTTAACCTATGTGCCCCCGATTATCCCAGTGAGTATTCCAGACTTGTTTTTTCAAAATAGTCACGTTAGGAGAATTATTTTCAATGATGCACAGAGCATCTTTTGAATGTGTTGCCTGGACTGCCTCCATTAGTGAGACGCTTCCTGGCAGCAGATCCTGCTGCTCAGGGGGACGGCTGAAAGCCGTGCGTGTCCCAGTCTGGTGTGTACAGTAGGTGACTGAGCCCAGGTCAGAAGGCGCTGTGATTGAAGAGTGTTTTTTGTAAATTAGCCATGAAGGCAGTTCCAAAATGGGAGTCCACCGTGTTTCGGCAGTGTAATCATCAGTGGAAGGAACACTGAGACTCCCAGAGTAACTAATTTATAGGGGCCATTCCAAGATGGGTTTAGTCTGTCACTGTTTTTATATTTCCATCTTCAGAAAATGTGCACACTTCACATCTGTGTTTACAGAGTGTGTGTTTCCCCTTATGATATTGCTCCTGTAGTAATATAGGCATGATCCAGTCTCCAAGTTTGAAATATCTAGGAGATGATGAAGAGTAAGGAAAGAAAGGAAAGAAATTCCTTAGGTACCAAAGCAGAGGCTACAAATCCCAGGCGTTAAAGTTGACTTTCATTTTAGACCTGTTTCAAACAACCTTGGCTCTCAGTTTTCCCATCATGAACAGATTAATAGATATTTCCGTACAGAGCAGAGAAAGAACTGCTGGATGTAGGTCCTCTGAAGCTTCCCAGTAGTAAAGGAAGAGGAAAAACAGCCACAAAAAGCATACATAGCACAGTCCCTGGTGGCATTTAATATAGAAACGTGTTGGTAACCTCACAGCCATCACTGTTATTAAAACAAATTACCGCGATGCTGGGTCTTCCTGAGCCCAAAACCAACAAGAAAGTAATTAGGGTTTTCCTCTTTAATTTGCTGGTTAAGGAGGAAATGAAGTATGCCTGTGAGTTTTATGAAGGTTTACATTGGCAAGAATTAAAGTAATAACATTTTAAGTGCTTAAAGGAATTGAACTTGGGTTACTTGGAAATGACTTCTACACACACTCAATATGTTGCTGACGCCTGCCAAGGCACTGCCATGCCCCGGTGCCGGGGAGGCTGTCTTTGTGTTTAAAAAAAAAAAAATGTTTCTCTGAATGATTAAGGCAGGATATGGTTGTCAGATATTTTTCCAACTTTTGTAAATATTAACTCCACCACATTGAAGTGAATAATGTTGTCTTTTGAATGTAAGTAATGTCACAATTTTCAAAAGCTACTAAAACTCCTTGGGCTTATCAAGCTCTCCTTCAAAAGTATTTTTTAATAAATATCCCTTAGAGTATAAAAAAATCAGTAGGTAAATGAAACAAAATAAAACCACATTTCTTCCTTCCCCCCTTTGCTGCACTGCCAGGATGCCCAGGCAGAGATGGTAATTTGGGGAGGTTTGTGTTGTTGCTGACCACCTGCTGTCAGTGACATTAAGATACATTCTAATAGATGCCGAGCATGAAGAGTCTAAGTTAAATACTTCTTGAGATTCTTTACAATGGAAACGAGAGTCTGTTTATCTCTGACGACCTGGTCTATTGAGTTCTGGAGAGGACTGTGGCCCCATCAGGTTAAACATTTTGAAAAGATATTGTAGAGGAACATTTAATGTTATAGAACAGAAGGCATTTTAGAAACACTTGACACCCTATATGGCTGGGTTTTTTTTCTTTATTAAGGTATTACATATGTGTCCGTATTCCCCCCATTGCCGCCCCTCAACCCCCTATATGTATGTTTTTTAAGTCATAGTACATTTCCTTCCTACATCTCAACTAATTTATTTAGGCAAAGGGCTCTTCACACAGTCACAATGACTGCCAAGTGGAAGTGAGAATAAAATCTTGTGATTTTTTTTTCTCCTGCAGTATAAAATCTCCTGATATTTAGGCTTTTTCTCTGAGCGTTAGAGTCCCACTCATTGTATTATCATGCATCCATTTGCTTTTATTAAAAATCATGTGTTTAGAATGCTGAACGCATGTGGCTCTCAGCTAAGGAGGGACCCTGATGCACTGCATGTAGTATGTGCATATTAGGAGCTGCTGGCCACAGCTGCTTCAGTAATGGGGCTGGTCATCCCTCCTCATTGATGACATCCTGGTATCAGTGGAAGGGTGTTTGCATCTGCCCTGCTCCAGGCCCCAGACAGTAAGAGTAATACAAACATGACACTTGCTGTAGCCGGTTTGGCTCAGTGGATAGAGCATCAGCCCTCAGCTTGAAGGGTCCCAGGTTCGATTCTGGTCAAGGGCATGTACCTGGGTTGTAGACTCAACTCCCCACCCCCATTGGGGTGTGTGCAGAAGGAACTAATCGATGTGTCTCACATTCATATTTCTCTCTTCCTATTTCTCCCCCTTCCTCCCACTCTCTCTAAAACTCATTGGAAAAATATCCTTGGGTAAGGATTAACAAAATCAAAAAACACATGACATTTGTGTTCTTTATTCTTCTGTGTATTTAAAGATTTCCACAAATCTAAAGTGTCCTTTTCTGACCTTCTAGGTCCCGTTGTCACACAGGACATTACCACATATCACACGGTGTTTCTTTTGGCCATTTTAGGAGGAATGGCTTTCATACTTTTGGTTTTGCTGTGTCTCCTTTTATATTATTGCAGGTAATGTTTTACCATTTTGGCAATATCTTTTTTTCATTTGGAATGGCTTGTGCAAGTATGATATGGAGGGTTTTTTTGTTTTGTTTTTTTCTTCTGAATCGAGGTCTTTTTTTTTTTTAATAGGTAGAAAAAAAACCTACACACTAAATATTTGTCATCTGACTTGCAAACAAATGAAGGACATAAGAGGCACACTGTGTATAATATATAACATTACCTAGAAGGGCAGTTATAGAGCCCATTTACCATTGTCCTATGATTGGTTTAGAATATTCCTAAACACTGACGAAGGTGTGATATTCTCAAGGACAAAGCAGAACTATTTTTATTGCGATGCCTCATCTGTTCTGTTTGCAAGAATGCTGATTGTCGATTCTTGGGGTAACTGCTTGTAATGAATGACTCAGATGCACTTATAAAAAAGCCTGCGGGTGAAATGTGTGGACTATGCTGCTCCGAATCAAAATAAGGCTGGGGGGGAGAGGGGGGTTGAGCAGGCTTCTGGCTTGTTTCTTTCTGTGGAAATTGGAGTTAGGATTGTACTTAAAACACAACCATGACGAGAATCTTTAACCTTTGGGTTTGGGTTGTGTCCTTTGATCGCAGGCGGAAGTGCTTGAAACCTCGTCAGCACCACAGGAAGCTGCAGCTCCCTGCCGCCCTGGAGAGTTCCAAAAGAGACCAGTCCACCTCCATGTCTCACATCAACCTGCTGTTTGCCCATCGGGAGTCGGAATTCCCGGGCCCACTCTCTGTGACCAGCCACAGCCGCCCGGACGCCCCGGGCACCAAGGAGCTGATGAGCGGCGTCCGTTTGGAAATGATGTCCTCCAGCGGAGAGGTGGACCTGCACACCCCCATGCTGAAGCTGTCCTACAGCACCTCCCAAGAATTCAGCTCTCGCGAGGAACTCCTGTCTCATAAGGAAGAGGACAAAAGCCAAATCTCCTTTGATAACCTGACCCCGAGCGGGACGTTGGGAAAGGACTACCATAAATCCGTGGAGATTTTCCCCTTAAAGTCCAGAAAGTCTGTGGAGAGAGAAGGCTACGAGTCCCCGGGCCGCAGCGACTACCGGAGGAGCTACAATGCCATGCTGTCACAGCCTTTATTTGAGAAGCAAGACCGAGACAGTCAGGCCTCCGTCAACCGTATTTCCACGGGAAGTAAGCTCACCATTCAGGAACACATGTACCCCGCACCTTCCTCTCCCGAAAAGGAGCAGCTGCTGGACCGCAGGCCTACTGAATGTATGATGTCACGATCCGTGGACCACCTGGAAAGACCCACGTCCTTCTCGCGGCCTGGCCAGCTGATCTGCTGCAGCTCCGTGGACCAGGTCAATGACAGCATCTACAGGAAAGTGCTGCCGGCCTTGGTCATCCCCGCCCACTACATGAAACTGCCTGGGGACCACTCCTACGTGGGCCAACCGCTGGTCGTTCCGGCAGACCAGCAGCTTGAGATCGAAAGGCTGCAGGCCGAGCTCTCCAGCCCCCACGCGGGGATCTTCCCACACCCCTCCTCGCAGATCCAGGCCCAGCCCTTGTCGTGCCAGGCCATCTCTCAGCAGCACCTGCAGGACGCGGGCAGCAGGGAGTGGAGCCCGCAGAACGGGTCCATGTCGGAGTCTCTGTCCATCCCTGCATCCCTGAACGACGCGGCCTTGGCCCAGATGAACAGCGAGGTCCAGCTCCTGACCGAAAAGGCCCTGATGGAACTGGGCGGCGGGAAGCCACTCCCGCACCCCCGGGCCTGGTTCGTCTCCCTGGATGGCAGGTCCAACGCGCACGTTAGACATTCTTACATCGATCTCCAAAGAGCCGGGAGGAACGGAAGCAACGATGCCAGTCTGGACTCCGGCGTGGATATGAATGAGCCAAAATCTGCCCGGAAGGGAAGGGGAGACCCTCTGTCTCTCCCACAGAACCACCCGCCCGTCCAGGAGCACCCTCAGAAGGAGCCGAGGGTGGCGGACGGCACGGCCTACACGCAGCTCGTGTACCTGGACGACATGGACCAAAGCGGCAGCGAGTGTGGCACCACCGTCTGCACCCCCGACGACAGTGCCCTGCGGTGCCTGCTGGACGGCTCCAGCCGGAGGAGCGGCGGCCAGCTGCCCAGCCTGCAGGAGGAGACGACCAAACGGACTGCGGACGTCCCCACCGAGCCCCTGGCCAGCCCCGACCAGGGAGGGTCCGCTCCGGAGGACGATGATGACGACGATGAGGATGACCAAGGAGAGGACAAGAAGAGCCCTTGGCAGAAGCGGGAAGAGAGACCCCTGATGGCGTTCAACATTAAATGAGCGATTGCAGAGTCACCCAGTCTAACAGAATTGCCAAAAAATTCTTACATACGGAAGTGCTTACACGTTTGTGGAGGAAGCTGAACAGCGGCAGCCGTGGCCTGCGGACATTTCCATTTCCGGTTGTGTAAATGTTCGAGGGGAGTTACGGTGATGACTCAGAAGAAAGGAGGGCGGTAAGGGATGCCTCGCTGCCCGGGAGGTGGCCAAACGTCGCGTCTGCGGGTCCTTCCACGTGCTTGCCGGGTCCCCCGAGGACACTGAGAAATCACAGTGATGTCTCTGGTTCTGACGATAACCTCAGTTCTCCCTCAGATTCCGGGAACAGATGAAGCTCTTTTGTTTTGTTTTTTTTGTTTTTTTGCATCGCCTGAGTCAGTTTTATCACGATAACGCTCCTGTGAAGTTATGATTGAGAAATTAGCTTGGCACTTAGTGTCCCGAGGTATTCATTACTTCAGAGGAAAACTATGCATTGCTGCTTCATGCTCTTACTTTGCCTAGGTTTTTGCTTTGCATGGGTTTTGTTTCGGGTTTGCTTTTTTTTTTTTTTTTTTTTTTATAAGCCCAGTTTGGTTGTGAAGATTTTATTCCTTCATTTTGATCTGTCCTGGGGTTTGGTGGTTTATTTCCATGTCTCCATTCAGGAACTCCTGTCAACTCTTAACATCCGAGCCTTTTTAATGAAATCGTACTGAAATTTTTTATCGGCTGAGAATCCTTCAATTCTGGTCCCATTAACTCCAAGTGCCTTTTTTACAGTGACAACAGACAGTCCCTCACTTATCCTCTTTGTTTTTCTTAACTCCTGCAATGGAACTGCCTGGATTTTATAAAGTTGTTAAACAATACCCCTTCCCTTTGAACTGCATGCTGCCAAGTGCCCGTTTGTGCACAGAATTCCGATTTCCGAGCAGTGTACTCTCCAGTTCTCCTGTGTGATGTGGGTTCTGTTTAGCTAAGATAAACTAGAGGACACCCTAAAGACTACCCCCACCCTCACCCCCACCCCCCACCCACCACTCCATCCCTCTGGCCACTAGCCACCATTATGGTTTTATTGGCTGTTTGTATATATGGTTACATATTAGCGCTGGAATTCTATGGGCTGATCTTGCTCTCCCACCATCAGTATGGACTGAGCAAGTGAACTGAATGTGACTATTAAAAAAAAAAAAAAAACTTATGTGCTATCCAAAAGTGCCAGAATGACTCTTCTGTGCATTCTCCTTAAAGAGCTGCTTGGTTATCCAAAAATGAAAATTCAAAATAAACTCTGAAGGAAAAAATAAAAAACTATCTTATAGTCATCTTCATTCATTCTAAGCCATTATTTGCTGCTTCAAAGTCGTTATGAAGAAATTGCGGTTCATTTCTTGGCAGTCTAACTGCCAGTTTGTTGGACTTATATTCAAAGACCACCATGAATTTAGATTATAGTTAAAGTCCTTAAAATCCACCTTTGGGTTTGGTTTCATCCAAGCATGCAAAGTAACATTGTGTGGTGTTAAACATGGGGAGAGAGATCTGCACTTTCCAAGAACCTGAGGTTTTATGTTCAGTATTGATTCACTTCACTCCCAAAAGTCCTTATTAAATATGACCAGAGCCATCCCAGATGTGTAAGACTGTTCCTCGGAATCATTAATGGAAACATTGGAACATAACAGAGATTGGCAGAAGTAAATGAAGCCAACTGTGTTTATAGGAACAGCTTCCTTACAAAAATCTTTATTGGTGAATTCCAGGCAGGCAGAAAACTAATCAGGCTGATTTTTATTATTTTAATTCTAAAGAGTAAATGTTTAGTATTTTGCTTTTAAGAGGGAAACCTGCTGAGAGCGTCCCCGCAGTGAAGGACATAAGGGGAAGTCTGTGGTGTAATGAGTGAGCGGACCTTTGGGAGTGAACGTTCTCACCGATAGGTGGCAGGTGAGTCCTTACAGACTTTACTGACACTCCAGGGAGAAGCCCTTTGTCAACTGCCCTCCAGAGGAAAGGTAAGTTGCCTCTCCCAAGAATTCCTAGGATGCCCTGGCTAGTGTGGTTTGGTGGGTTGAGCGTTATCCCATGCCTTATACCCCAAAAGGTTGCTAGTTTGATTCCCAGTCAGGGTATTTCCCAGGTTTCGGGTTCGATCCCTGGGAAATACCCTGACTGGGAATCAAACTGGTTGGGGGTGCTAGATGGAGGCAACTGTTTGATGACTCTCTCATATCCACGTTTCTCCCTCCCTCTCCTTCTCTCTCTCTTTAAAAATAAAAATACCACTGTTGCCCTGATTGATTTGGCTCAGTGGATAGAGCATCAGCCTGTGAACCAAAGAATCCAGGTTTTGATTCTGGTCAGAGGCACGTACCTCTGTTGCGGGCCTGATCTGTGTCTCTCACATCGATGCTTCTCTCTCTGTGTCTCTCCCCCTTCCCTTTCACTCTCCTTAAAATCAATGGGGAAATATCTTCAGGTGAGAATTAACCAAACACACACACTAAAAAATCAATTAAGCCCTAGCCAGTTTGGCTTAGTAGATAGTCGGCCTGCGGACTTAAGGGTCCCTGGTTCAATTCCGGTCAAGGGCATGTACCTTGGTTGCAGGCACATCCCAAGTGGAAGATGTGCATGAGGTAGCTGATTGATGTTTCTCTCTCATGGATGTTTCTAACTCTCTATCCCTCTCTCTTCCTCTCTGTAAAAAATCAATAAAATATATTTAAAGAAAAAAACGTTAAAACAAAAATACCCAGGGTCAGACCTAGGTGGCTGGGGAAATGCTCCAGGATCCCAGCCCTTTGTAGCTCTTCCTAAGGTTACTGCCAGGGCAGCCACCTTAAGCATTGGTTTTCAGGAGATTATTATCAGAGATCTGGCAGGAAGACTGGGGGCACGGAGGGGGTGGGGCGAGGGTTTCTGATTTCTCATTAGGCTAGATGTAACGTGGGTCTGCCATGAGTATAGATATGTACACATATAATACCTTAATAAAAAATAAAAAAAGAAAAGGAAGAAAGCGCAGAGCAGCCAGCAGTGGTAAGAAGACACTGTTTGCCAAAGATGGAGCTTAACTCATCTTCACTTACAAGTTAACATTTTTGCTCAGGGTGTCAACACTGGTCACAAGACTCATTGTCTGCACAGAGCACTGTGACTGGGAACTGTAAACATTTATCTTCTCTCCAGTCTGTTAGGGTGAAATTTCAGCGTTCCCAATCAGATTGCCTAAAGGACCAAACCCATCAAAGGCATCATGCTTATGCCACCTAGTGGTGAGTGTTCGCCGGCCTGTTCATTAAGGAGACTTCACTGAATAAAGGGGTCCAGGGCCCGCTCTGCAAAGTCAAGGGTAGTGTGCCCAGAGGTGACCTGGACCTGCTGCTGTGCTCCAGGTGATGAAGTGGGACTGACATCTGTGGAGTTTCTGACTTGGAAATGATATGCTGAGAACAAATAATTCATTCTATTCTAACAATAATGTATTCCATTCTCAAAACTATATTAGGAAGATATTTCTATGTTTGGCACCTAACTAAATTGAGGCTTGGGGGTTAAGTAATTGAGGCCATTTGACTAGAAGCTGTGTAAACAACCAGCTCTCTGGAAACAAATGCATGTAGGTTTACATGTTTCCGATTAAAGGACATATAGGACAAATCCTAGCAAAATACATAATTGTAAATTCCATTTGACAGGTAGTCTCACAGAATACTTCCATCAATTTTTGTCACATCTAGCAATTGACAAAAGGATATAGCTCTGACATGAACGTTAATGGATTTTTTTACATGAAGATTAAGATGAAACTGAAAGACACATGTCAGAATATCACTCGTTTATCCAGCATAGCATGTCTTCTTAGCTGAGTCAGGTAATGGTTGCTGAATACTGGAAGAATGTTTGATTTCCTCAACTTCCTGTGCTAGTTGCAATGTAATGGGTTTAGACATAATACCGATTTTGTTTTTTTAAAATATATTTTTATTGATTTCAAAGAGAAAAGGAGAGGGAGAGAGAGAAACAACAATGATGAGAGAGAATCATTGATCAGCTGCCTCCTGCATGTCCCATATTGGGAAACAAGCCTGCAACCCAGGCATTTGCCCTGACCAGGAATCAAACCATGACCTCCTGGTTAATAGATCTATGCCTAAGCGCTGAGCCATGTCAGCTGGGCTAGACATAATACAGTTTTAAGTTTAATCTGCATTATTAACATTTTCTTCATCGCTTTCTTAAACCTAGACAGTCAACAAATCAAGCATTGATTTGTGGCATTGCCCATTTCCATGATGTAAATACTCCCATGTGGCCAGATTCAAGCAACTAGAGTGACATCACTACACTCAAAAGTTGGGAAGAGATGTCCTGTAGCACACAGTTATATTTCCACCAGATACAATAGAGGTAAATAACCCAAAAAACATAGTCAGATATGTAGTTGGTCCTCATTGTTTGCAGATTCCATTGTTTATAAATCTATCTACTTGCTAAAATTTATTTGTAACCACAATATCAATCATTGCCATTTTTTCAGTCATTCATGGGTGTGTGCAGAGCAATGAAAAATGTGAGTTGCCCCCTGCCCATTTTCTCAGCTAAGGTTAACCAGCAATGTTCTGCCTTCTTGTTATATCTTTCAATGTGAACAAGTGTCCCATTTTTGAAGTCTGTTTATTGCAGCACTTTCTGCATTTTTATGCTTTTGTTGGTGATTTCACTGCTTAAAGTACTCCTAAGGTCAAGAGGGCTTGTGATGCACCTGGTGGAGAAAATGCCCGTGTTAGATAAGCTTCGTCCAGGCATGAGTTATACTGCCATTGGCCATGAGTTCAGCTTTATGGCATCAACACACAAAATAAGATTACATATTGATCAGTTGATTAAAATATGAACAGTCTTGCCAACTCCTAACCCTATATTTCCCCCAGGAACAGTGATTTTACCATTGTATTCCCTAATTCAGTATGCATAGCAATTTATAGAACTCTAGAGGCCTGGTGCACAAA